GGATCTCTGTTAAAGAAGAACGCCAGGCAATTTAAACTGCTCATTTTTGTCTAGGGGTTCAAATAAAGAAAATATACTTACCTGAGCCTCGCTACTGCATGGCTGCTATACCGGTCCATGCAGCCTCTACTCCCATGGGCTCCGGAGGACCCATGAAGTCATCATGTCTAATGCAGCTGCATCCGACGCAAGAACGCCAATGGCCATTCCTCCACCAGAGCAGCGGGGGGAGAGAGGTGAGCAGTCACCGCAGCGGGACCGAGGATCAGGGGATATATTCTTTATTTTAGCCCCTAGACCAAAACAAGCCGTTAACCCTTGCAGGGGTAGCCCCGCTGCAAGGGTTGATTTTTGGATTGCCTGGAGTTCTTTAAGAGGAATGTGGAGACTGCCATTGCTGAACTTCTTCTGAAAATGCCAGTTGTCTTGCTGTCATTCATCACAGATGGTGTTTGCCATAGAGGAGCAGATGTTTCCACATAAAGGAAGAGCGAGGGGAGATCCATCTGAACTCGAAAGACTTTGTGCAACGCAACTCTTGCCTGACCCACAGTGTTGCCTGTATGGCACTTCTGATTCTACAATAAATGAAAAATTGTTCCTGCTCACATTGCCAGTATTTGTAAGAACAAGCGCCTCTGACCGCAGAGTCCTTATTGTTCACTGGAAGGTCAGAAATGACCCGTTCTATTATCCACAATTTCTCTGAACACACAGGCCTGTAATACACATGGCCATGGAGTGGTGTATGGCCCTGTCCTCTTTTATAGCTGCATCAATTACCAAACCATGAAAATTGAATTTATCGCTTTATTTGCAGAACACCAGACGTTAGCATGCCTATAGAAAAGGTCACTTTGCAGTTTCTGTACACTCACATATGCATACATAAATACAGCTCATAAAAGCAGACTGTATGAATAATTCATCCAGTGCCAGCACAAAACAGCTCTGGGACACATATCATTCATTTTCCAGCAAGGACGAATGGACCTTGTGTGTGCTGGTGACATTAATCAGTGTCTTAGGGGACAGCTCATCCCCCCCAACCATTCGAGTGTCACCTCCTCCCTGTGGGGGTATCCGCTCATTATCTGGTAATTGGGCAGCTGTGTCCATCCTATCAGTTGCATTGTCACAATGTGACCAGTGCTTGCTTACCCATCATACTACACACTTACCATACACAGGTTTTTGTTGATGAAGTATTGCAAGGCGTGTAGTGGGGAACTGAAGGTAGATCACTGAAAACGAAAATCTGATTGCATGCTATAGATCGCCTTTTTGTCAGATGTTGGGAAACCCATAAGAAGCAGCAGTAAGATCACAGAATCACCAGTATAGCAATGCCAAGAAACCTATTTTAATCCCTTTTCCACACCCTATAGTAAAATGCACTAACATTCCTGCGTAATACTTACCCATCCTGAAGAAGCTTGTCTCCCCTCGGTCACGTGACCAATGACCAGGCATTGATTATGTAGTCCCATACAATGAGATTTAGGCAGAGCTGGACAATGAGGGACTCTTTGTGAAAGCTTTTGGCCTATTTACAGTATAGCAAATGCACAGGATCTGTGTGTTTTAGCCCTCACTATCCCACAGTGCATGGCATCACTCGCTAGGTGCGCTGGTGCAGTTCCATCTATTCTGAGATGTTGATAGAGTGCGCTAAACACATGGATCCCATGTGTTTGGCACAATACTGTGGTGTGACTAGGCCCTTAACCCTTGTTTTGACAATGGATTACTGCTGGTGCGCCAGGCCACACAACATACCACCAGTTGAGATGAGAGTAGGTTTTTATAAACCCTGTGTTATGAGGGACTGCTCTACATTTCTAGTATGGATATCCTAAATATAATGGCAAGTTGGAATGTTACATAGTTACATAGTATTTGAGGTTGAATAAAGACATTAGTCCATCAAGTCCAACCTATTAGGATCTCATTCTAGGAGTACCTGTACCCCTGTATATTACGGTCCCTTAAGAAATCGTCCAAAGCTTAAGAAATCGTCCAAAGCTTAAGAAATCGTCCAAAAAATGTAAATTCTGTAGCACTGCATTTATGTGAAGTATCAACATGCAGTATTTACTGAAGAAGTGAACCTGGCCATTAAACGCGTCAACTGATTAAGACAGAATTTTGTGTGTCTAATTAGACAGTTGTCTTAAGGGACTTATTGGCTACTGTGGTGGTTAATAATCGGCTAACTAATCGATTTTGAAAATAATCGTTAGCTGCAGCTCTAGTTCAAACAATCCTGTAAATTAACTTCAAGCACACTCAATCCTTTGTATATACATGTGATGTGTTTTTATTTTTCCAAAAATAATAAAAATGTGTATAAATGTTTTTTTAATCAAAAATGTGGTTGCCTCTTGGGTGCTATTTATAAAGTCCCGATGTTTAACATATAGGATGATGTGTTCCCATTCGCACAGCATACATAACATACTGTTTTAGAAATACTTGTTACCTTTCTAGTTGTTGGAGTGACATTAAAGGGTTTCTAAACCCTCACTTTTTTTGCATATATCTATTGATAAAAAGCAGTAGATATATGCAAAAAGTAAAAAAAAAACAAAAGCGGTTTAAACTAACCCCTGTCTTCGCCGCTCGCTCCTGTCCGAAAATTCTCGGGCGGCCGCAAAGCATGCGCAGTTCGGATTTTCGGCCGGGAGACGAGGAGAGACACAAGGTAAGTCTATGGACGCGTGCACCCGCATGCAGACACGGTGGGACAGGAAGTGCCAGCAAGCACAGAGGAGTCAGCGCTGTAGAGCTGCAGCTAACGATTATTTTCAAAATCGATTAGTTAGCCGATTATTAAGTTCGATTAATCGGTTAATCGGATAAACAATAAAATACATTTTAAAAAATGGCTCCAGTGAAGGGACTACTAGTTTGTATTGAGGTTGTAGTCCATCACA